CTTCTCCTTCTTCTTCTTCTTCTTCTTAACTTGCCTTTTTTGTGTTTGAATTCCAGCAGCTTTAATGCTGGACCAGCCTTCCATCTCATAAAATGTAAGCAATGTTCATTTAATGATAAGTTTGCATTTTCTCCTAAATAAGATCTTGATCTTCTTCTTCTTCCAAGTTCCAACCATCCCCACATTCCCATGGTCACATAATTGCAATCCAAGTCCTTGCACTTCTGATAGTTGCAGCATCTCGTAGAGGCTTGACCGCCATTTGCAAACTTCTCTCTTGGCTTCACAAAAGCAAAGTCAATGGGGAAGATGTCAGGGAAGGTTGAGACTCACTCCAGGAATCACTTAGACTTGTTCTCCAGAGGAGCCTGGCCACAGAGGATCAGATCCTAGAAAGTTCATACTCAATACCAAGCGTGCACACATGCCTGCAGCACTGGTCCCACCCATGGTACACATCCCTGCGCCCTCCTCCATCTGGAAGCAGCCATCTCTGGCCCCTCTGGGTTTGTGTGGGGCTATGGCAGCTATGTGCACATCCTCCTTCACCTAACAGCAGCTAGCCCACCATACTTACACATTGCCAGGGTGGCCATCTGCACACACTCCCCCATGGGCCATGCCAAGAAAGTCCAATTTAGACAAATGATATTTTCATCTGGCCACCAGAAACAATAAATCTCTTAGATATTTCCAAAATGGGGCATTGCATCTCAGCAACTGTTGCTAAGGGCAGAGTACACAACACTGTTTGTGGTAAAAGCCAAACTTGTCCTTTGAGGAATGGCTCCAAAGAGATGATGGGGCCAGGATAATACTTAATCTGAAATAATTTAAATTTCATTCAACCCTCATTCTGTACATTAGCCAGTTTTGGCTGCGTTTAGTCATTTCCCTCTTTTGTCACATTTACAGTTCTAATCTAGTACCGATAAGATCAAGCAGTTTTAAAATATGCTTCATCCCAACTAATAAAAATATTGTTTTACAAACTGTTTGGAAAGAGGAAGATCTTCAATAAAAGTTGAACTGCAGTTGTTAAGTTAGTAACACAGTTGTTAAGTGAATGTGGAATCCCCACTGACTTTGCTTGTCAGAAGGTGGCCAAAGGGTTTGGGTGTCAGCAATTCGGCAATTTGATTCTGACTGGCTCAAGGTTGACTGAGCCTTCCATCCTTCTGAAGTGGGTAAAATGAGCAATGTCAACTCCAAAATATTTCTCTGGTCTTTTAGAGTTGCCAGCAGAAAGGGAGTGAGGGAAGTAGCGCATTCCTTAAATGCTTCATAGTTAATTGCGAGGCAGCCGAAGCTTCTGGCACACAAGATTATTACTGGAGAACATGATTGATGACTCTTGGCTATGGATGTGTCCCATTGGAGAATATACATCCAGGGGGTGGGGGAAGACTAGGGTCAAGGGTGAAATGAGTGATGTGTCTCAGAGTCGGCTACACCCAGATAACGCTGGCTTGTTCACTCCTAATAAATCTTTTCTTTTTTTAACTCAGAGATGCGGCTAGAGACTCATTATTTGAATGGGGGTAGATGCTGGAGCCCTGAGACCCAAATTGTTGAGGGAAATAGGCTGACTATAAACCGCTCAAAGAGGTTTGCACTGTGAAGCGGTGTATAAGTCTAAGTGCTATTGCTATTGTATAATCCCAGGGGTATGCACCAAATTTTTCATTCACTCCCAGGAAAGTTAAGACCAAAATTTCCATAAAATAAGTTGACTTCGCGTGACTTCATGAACATGCTGTGAAGTTTTCTTCCCTCCATGATGACATGGTTTGCCGTATCCATTTCCCAACCTATTTTATTTTGCAAGGCTATTCTACAGCTGTCAGATTTGCAGTCCTGACAATGTTTAGACTTTTGAGATCAGCCAAGTTTGCTTAGTTATTGACAGCTCCTGTAAACATACATGCCTTGTTTTTTCTATTTTATGTGTCGCTTGCAGAGTCATGTGGACTAAATCTTCTGCAGTTTTCCAGTTGCTTGCTGCAGAAGGTAGAGAAAAGGAGCTCCTTGAAAGCAAAAAAAAGGACAACCAACTCTTTTCCCCTGACCTTCCCTAGCAGCTGTCCCAAAGGCGCTCAGTTTCAAAACCCAGCAAAAAAATGTATAAGCTTCTTTCTGTTGCAAATCAAACAGTAACATCTCCTTTTTTTCTTTAAAAAATGTGCTGTTCTGGATTCACCTACAGGTAGTCCTCGACTTTGTTCATTTAGTGTCTGTTGAAAGTTACAACGCCACTGAAAAAAAGGTGACGGTATGGTCGTTTTTCACACTTAACAACCACTGCAGCATCACCGTGGCCACATGTTCAAAATTCGGATGGTTGGCAACTGGCTTGTATTTATGATGGTTGCAGTGCCCTGGGACCCTGGGATCCCCTTTGGCAGCCTTCTGACAAGCGAAGACCATCGGGAGGCCAGATTCTCTTAACAACCGGGTTACTAACTTAACAGTTCTGAGATCCACTTAGCAACTCTGGCAAGAAAGGTTATGAAAAGGGGCAAAACTCAAAATAACAGAGTTGGAAGGGACCTTGGAGGTCTTCTAGTCCAACCCCCTGCTCAAGCAGGAAACCCTACACCATGTCAGACAAATGGTTGTCCAATCTCTTCTTAAAAACTTAATTAAGCCAATTAAGTACTTAATTCTACTTTCCTTAATGTTGGCACCTTCTGGATAAGTTGAACTACAACCTCTGTAATTCCAGTTAATCAACTCAACTACTGATAGTACCAGCTAAGAATAATAAAGCTACCAGCACAATACATTTATGGAGTGGAGTGGAGTGGAGTGGAGTGGAGTGGAGTGGAGTAGAGTAGAGTAGAGTAGAGTAGAGTAGAGTAGAGTAGAGTAGAGCAGAGTAACAGAACAGAACAGTTGGAAGGGACCTTGGAGGTCTTCTAGTCCAACCCACTGCTTAGTCAGGAAACCCTATAACATTTCAGACAAATGGCTGTCCAATCTCTTCTTAAAAACTTCCAGTCTTGGAGCATCCACAACTTCTGGAGGGAAGTCATTCCACCGATTCATTGTTCTCACCATCAGGAAATTCCTCCTTAGTTCTAGGTTACTTCTCCCCTTTATTCATTGCCTTGATTCCCTGAACAAATGTCTCACTTAGCAACACAAATGTTTGAGCCATTGTGCTTGTAAGTCAAGAGCTACCTATATAGTCAAGGGAAGGGAAGCTTCTGTTCACGACTTCGCCAGTCGCTTGGATCGGGTTCTTTTTCTACCTGACTCCAGAGGCCCTCTTAATCTGTGTCTCATCTAGGAGTGGGATTCAAAACCCCCAGCAACCGTTTCGCTGCCCAGTTGCTAGGTGGGTGTGACCATGGTGGGCATAGCCTATCTGAACTTCCGGGAGGGCCGTTTTTCACCTTCCCAAGGGTCCAGATGCTTCCCTCGGGCCTCTAGGAGGGCGAAAACGGCCTCCCCCGGGGTCTGGAGGCTCTCTGGAAGCTGGAAACAGGGCCATTTCTGGACTTCCAGAAGGCCTGTTTTCCCCCCTCCCAGAGTCTCGCGCAGACGTTGCACTTACCTGCATTGAAAATGGGCCACGTGGAGACTCCTAGAAGGGAAGGGGAGTAGTGGGCCATCTGATTGGTTCAAATACCAGTTTGGCAAACCAGATGCAAATTTAACATCCGGTTTGCTCGAACTGGTCCAAACCGGTAGAATCCCACCTTTGGTCTTCTTCTACACCCGAGGTCTCCAAACTTGGCAACTTAAAGACAAGTGGACTTCAACTCCCAGAATCCTCGGAGTTTGAAGTCCACACGTCTTAAAGTTGCCAAGTTTGGGGGCCCGTGTTCTACTCGGTACTGTCATAAATTGTTCTACCCACAAATGGGATCTTCCACTCACATTGTGGTTGTGCATCTGGGAAGTCAGTCTGCAGCTAAGGCTCTCTTCCAATAAGCTAGCTTCATGCTTCTGTAGGCAGTCTATAAAAAAAAAGGCAGATTCATCTGCCAAGCTGAAAAATGGTTTTCATTTTTCTTAAAACCTAACCACAGCATTTAGGCGCTGAGGTAAC